CAAGGGGTCAGTTCCCGGAGGATACAGGCACTCTCACCCCAGGTCTACTGCAACCATTCTTATCTTTCTGATAGTGACTGATTTTCATTGTCCTGAAACCATTCTATGATTTCTATCTCATTGGTGAGTTGGTTAACTTCTCCTCTCCTCGATTTTGTGCGTGCTCGGGGCCCTTTTGATGACACTGATGTCCAAGCATGGGTGGGGTTGGAGAATGTATATACCTATATGGAAGCAACAAAAAGCTCACTGCACGTGTTATGTGGGTACAAAGAAGGGACAAGTAAAGAAGAAAAGAATTCCATGTTTTGACTGAGTTTCTTTTCTTTTTTTTCTCTTCTTCTTTTTTATCCAAACTTGAGTTGCTTGAAGACGATGGAAATAGTAATATACTGATTTCTATGGTGTGTCCTCTACGGGCTCGCATACCATTTCGGTCCATTCCATTTGTGTGAACAGGGTCGAGGATGCTGTTACGCTGTACCTCAATCGGCGCCTGCGGACTGGAGCAGACCCAGCCACCAAGGACGATAGAGGGTAGTCAGGCACGCACCGGAGAAAGCATACATATTACATATCCCTGTGTTTTTTTGCCCGTACCTTTCCCCCTTTTCTTTTTTTAAACCTCAACACCCTTGAGATATCATTACGGAGCTGGCCACCCTACCCTACCTCAATCGGCACACCCATGAACTGTTGAAATACAGAGTTTATTTCTATTCCAGCGCCAATCAGATGACCAGGATAAAATAATATGCCTGTAAGGCTGTACCTTTCCCATGTTTTGTTGGTGCTCAAGTTTCTGGTACTTCCTTTCCTTGGCTGATGCCAGGATTCATGTTTGATCCTGGAAGTTAGTTTGATCCTTGAAGTTAGTTTGGTCCGGGAAGTTTGGAAATCAAAATCATAAAGGCTACCTGCACCTCTGGTTGTTCAGAGTCTTCAGACCAACAATCTGCTGTATTTCTTCTCCTCTTTACACTTCTTTTTTTGAAAAAAAAAGCTTGTCTAAGTTTTATTTTCCAAGTTATCTTTGATGCTGCCCTTCCTTTGCTTCACAGTGTCCAGTTTGTGTCAACTAGGAGCTCTGCCTTTTTGTATAGTTTGATGCCAGCCACCATTCCTTGTGATAGATGATGACATGGCTTTTGCCAGAGTGAAGGAGCGTGCACACTCTTCTCGGTGTTGAAATTTGGTTTTGCTTGTAGGGAGGAACAGAAATGGAAAGTGTGTGTGAGTGTGTGTGTGTGGTTGTGTGTGTGTGTGTGTGTGTGTGTGTGTATTCTTGTAATTTGCATGACTTGCTGGTGGAAAAGGAACCGGACTGACGCTTCTCAGAATGGATATGGAGCCAGGACCATAAGGCCTTGTTTAACACACACACACACACAAAAAAAAAAAAAAAGAAGGAAACTTTCTTCTTTTTTTCTTTGTCGGCTCATTAGGCTGTGAATGTGATTGTCGCAGAGTTGACGCAGACATCTTTTTTTTTTCTTTTTTTTTTTGGGGGG